TTTACATTGTAGAGTCTGTAATTTGTCAATATAATTATTTAATCTTTTTCAGTGCAAAGAATTTGCATAGTCATGAGCCTTCAGGTTTTCCTCCAGTATTTGCCCTATTTAATCCTTTTGAACTGATATGTCGAGAGAGATTGAAGGACTGTTTAATTCCAGACACTGGATTGGCAGCTCAGTTATTCCCACTCCAGTTATTTTTCTGACTAGATTACCTCGATTATGATTGAGTGCCAGGAATGAATCTGCACCTCTCTCCTTTTAGAACTGCTGTAATAATCACTACCCTGTTCATTTTAAAAACAATTTGTAATTGAAGATCTTTTCAAGGAAAGAAGTTACAAAAATCTGAATTTCAGCATTCACTTAAGATTAATTGCATAATAAATTGATTAATACAGTCAGACATTATGAGCATGATAAATTGTATAGTGTAATTAATAGATACATAACAGAAATTAAAGCACAGTTCTAATCCCGTGGTTTGTCATGTGTTGCTGACCTACACAGACTGCTCTTAGCTTATCTTGGTAAGAGTGGTAGTGGTGGTGCTACAATTATCCACAGTGCCTCTGGCTAAGGAGGAGAAATATCAGCTTGGTTTGTGCTCCTGATTGCTATCTAGTGACCTCTGCTGGAAAGTGCTCTGGCATGAATATTCTCATGATCAAATAACCTATTGACATTGATTCTCAAGTCTCGCTTTGTGGAGGTGCCAGAACGCTGCCAACGCTGATGGAACTGTGCCCCAGTGATAGTCGCTGACGTCAGATGAAAAGAGAATAAAATTTTGGGTGGGGAAAGCAGAAAAGAGGAAATCATTTTGTTCAGTCAATCTTGATTTTAAAACCATTTAAGTTAAAAGTTTTATAGGACAACTGTCTTTAAAAAATATCAATAGTTTTAATCTACATTTTGCTGATTATATTAGAATTCATTAAGCAAGCCTGAAATATTAAAAAGCTGTGTTTGATAATTACTTGTGTTTTCAGTTCCAGCCTGTTAATAAATTGATTCCTTACCCATTTTGAATTTTCTAAAGGATGTATTATTCAAATTGGGCATTGAATAGGTTTAGGTTTGTACAAATTTATCCATATAGAGCATGTTAAAGGTCATCAAAATGATAAATACTAGTGCTTTGCAATCTTAGAGAAGAAAATCTTAAACCTTATAGAGCTGTGAGGTGATGGATTGGTTGCATTTACGACGAGAGGCCTCGTATTTTAAGTTGCATTGTATAAACTATTGCTGTGAGTAGTATCTCTTTCTGAGGAAGGGCAATTCAGTGTTAACATTAGAGCTTCAGTTGTATCCATTTAATGGAACAGTGACCGGTTCTGGATGACCACTCCGGAGGCCAGCAGACATTTTAAGTCATTTGACATTATGATAAATTGTTCATGGGGCCATCCTTTGGAATTCAACAAGTCAGCAGGGATCCCTTGTAGATAACTTGTTTTGTAGAACAGTATGTGACTTTGTTACCTTTTTGCTTTTTTTATTTCATACTTTTAAGAACAATATTTTTGCCTTTTAATACAGAGAACTATGGTCAAATGCGCAGATGCACAACAACTTAGCAACAAACAATCACATTAACAGCAAAATTTCACTTTCATTTTTGAATGATTATTCAGGTTAATTTTCTTTACAATTGAATAAACTATCTTGAAAGTGTATTGTACTTGAACATGGTGTGTAAATTTCAGAGATCAGGTTTGGCACAACATTAAACATGAATTTCAGAAAAAACATTCCAAAGCAGTAAATCAGTTTTTAAATGAGTAATGAAAATGACCTTAGTGCCAAGCAGTAAAACTAAATAAAACCTATATTATTGCGTTTTTTGTTTAAAAGCAAAGCTAGAGAGAGATGGACTAGGCCCCAGATCCTGGTCACTAGAGAAGAAAGTGGTACCAAGCTAAGGAGTTGGATTTAACTGACACCAACCATGGTTCACCTCAGGTGGCAGACACACCCAGAAAGCCTCAGTGGAATTTGTATGAAAGTGTGGTTTAGAAGCAGGTTGCCTTTCAATGTGGGATTTTCTCCTTTACAGCCTTCTTTCTGGCCAGGTTTTTACAGAGAAAGAGGAGATGGGAAAGCGTATGGGTCCATCTCACTCAGTCTCAGGTTTTGCACACATGCATACTTTGTCTTTTACCACCTTCATTTGAATTCTCTCCCACTCTTTCTTTCTTTGCCCATCACCTCACCCTCACCCTTTGCCCCCCTCCTCACTATCTCCTTCCCTTCCATCCTTTCTCTCCTTCCCTGTCATCCTTTTATTTCTTTGCCTCCAAGCCCCTTGTGGCCTGCTGCACCATCTTGACTGCCTCCTTCAAGGTGCCTTCAGAGGAAAGAGATAGTGGTTCCTGCCTGCCTACCTTTTGTCTCCGTGTCCTAGAGTTACCTGTTCTCCTGATGTAAAGCTGCTCTCACTCTTCCACCTTGCCACTCTTTGTATCTTCATCCACATCTTCCACTTGTGCTTTATAACACTGGCAGCTGAATAGAACCCTATGCTGGGGGAGGCAATGGCCTAGTGGTATTATCACTGGGCTGTTAATCCTAAGACCCAGGTAATGATCTGGGGACCTGGGTTCAAACCCTGCCATGACGGATAGTGAAATTTTGAATTCAATAAAAAATCTGGAATTTTTACCTTAATCTTTATCTAGAATTAAGAGTATAATGATGATCATGAATCTTTTTTGGAAAAAAGATCCGGTTCATTGCCATCCTTACCTGGTCTGACCTACATATGACTCCAGACCCACAGCAATGTGGTTAACCCTGGGCATTTAGGGGTAGGCAAAAGATGCTGGCCTATCCAGCAATACCCTCATGAAGAATTAAAAAGTAAACTGTTGCATATAAGCAAGATTCAATATCATCTTCCTTGGGCAGTTCCTCTGGATCAGTTGCCTCCAGTCCGGTGGAGTGGATACTGAATTGGCTGACTGTCCAATGCATCATCCACAAACTCTGTCTCATGTGCAACAGGTGGTGCTTGAACAATTAGGTAGTTGGTTAAGATTAATGCACACCCTCTGTTTTGATTTAACTTGGCATATTAATGTTGAAGTCCCTTTGGTGCAGTTCTGAACCTTCATTTTAGACAGTTGTAAGCTAGGGTTTCCCATAAGTCAGTGGATATATTTGACTTATTTTAGGATTGCTTTGAGAACATCCACTGTCCTCCTGGGAGTCTCCTGCCATGATCAAATTATGAGTTGAACCCTTGCTTCAGGAATTCGGTATTAGGCATACAAGTGTTATAGAGTTATACAGCATGAAAAGAGACCCTTCGGTCCAACCAGTCCATGCCAACCATAATCCCAAACTAAACTAGTCCCACATGCCTGGACTTGGCCCATATCCCTCCAAACCTTTCCTTTTCAGGTACTTACCTAAAGTCTTTTAAACATTGTGACTGTACCCACATCCACCACCTTCCTCTTGGAGTTCATTCCACACACGAGCCACTCATTTTTTTATATTAAAAAAATGTACATGTCTTTTAAATTTTTCTCCTCTACCTTAAAATGCCCCTAGGTGAAATTCCCCACCTAGGAAAAAGACACCTGCCATTCACCTTGTCTACACCCCTCATGATTTTATAAACCTCTCTACAGTCACCCCTCAACCTCCTATACTGCAGTGAAAAAGCCCCAGCTTGTCCAGCCTCTTCCTGGCAACATCCTGGTAAATTTCTTCTGAGCTCTCTCCAGTGATCAATAATGGCACTTTGATGCTGGGCAAGTTGGCATAAGAGAGGATATTGCTGTTGGACTGCCATTCTTTCCACTTGATTTGGAGGGCCTTGTTAAAGGCACCATATTTAGTAATTCTCAAGTGCTTTGCACTGCCTATTGTAGATCATCCAAGCCTCAAAAAGATAGAGTGAGGGGGATGATTGCAACCTGGTAAGCCATGGACTTAGCCTTGGGCTTGAGAAGCTGGTCCTCAAGTACTATTTTCCTCAGTTACATTGGTGACAAATTTAATTACTACCTCCAATGTCTGCCTTCATCAGGAGTAGGCTGCAAAGGTACAGCAAGTGGATCATGTTTTCCAGGATCTTCAGGGGAGGTGTTATGCTGAGGGAGCTGGTTGAGAGAGGATCATAATTTCCCCAAGTGTTTTAAATAGCTAGCTTTCCAGGGTGTCATATGCTTTGCAGGAGTTAAAAGTGACCTGCAGCTAGAGCTCCGTGACCAATTCAGATTAAGATAGTTGAGAGCTAAACTAAACTATAGGTGAGGATAGCTTGACTCTGAAAGCATAAAGTAGCACTTTTTATGTGGCAAAACATGTTAATTTTAGGACCATAGGAACCTTGTTTCTGATGTTTTTACCTCCTTATTGCCCATGTTTACATTATTATAAATGCCATGGTGTCTGGAATTGTTTCTTGTCTAGAAATTATTCTTTAACTCTTTCTAAATTGCATTACATTTCATCATAGAATCACAGAATCCCTACAGTGTGGAAACAGGCCATTCGGCCCAACAAGTCCACACCAACCCTCCAAGCATTCCACCCAGACCCATCCCTGTATAACCCACCTAATCTACGCATCCCTGAACAGTATGGGCAATTTAGCATGGCCAATCCACCTATCCAGCATATCTTTGGACTGGAGGAAACCGGAGCACCCAGAGGAAACCCACGCAGACACGGGGAGAACATGCAAGCTCCACACAGACAGTTGCCCAAGGCTGGAATCGAACCCGGGTCCCTGGCGCTGTGAGGCAGCTAACCACTGTGCCACCGTGCCGCCCATTTGTAGATTAAACATTAATGTAAATGATTTTATTTTCGAAAATCTTATCGGCTAATTTATGCTGATTTATTCTTAGTTACTATTGACAGTAGGATAAAGATTCTATGCAAGGAGATGCTTGACAATGTACAAAAATATATGGTAACCAACAAAAGAGGAATATGTAAGTTTTTTAATAAAGTATGTTCTGTTTTTCAAATTTTAGATCCTCGCAGAAAATATCATATGCGCTTGCTGGCATACAACTATATGGGTGAAGGCTACCAGGCAGACCAAACTGTAAGCACCCCAGGATGTGTGTGTAAGTGTTTTGATTTTAATTCTCCACTTAGATTTGTGCAGTGAGTTAGTGAACTTCATTTTTAAAAAAGCTTTATTTTAAGCAAGCCTTGCTAGCATACTATCCCCACCCCTAGATCTTTAATCCGGATAGCTAAATGTTAAATGAGAATTCTTGTCATTAGTGCTATTTGTAAACAAAGACCTCCTGTTGATCACAACTAAGGCAGCCAGTAAGTTATGTTAGGATCACCAGCTCCCATCAATCACTTCTGATTTAGAGGAATCTGGAGCCGTGGTTTTGTGTTGTTATAAATAAGATTTTAATTTTGGCTAAGTCAAAGGGGAAAAATGCCTTTATTTATGAAGAATAATAGGTTAGAGTTCCAATTCTCAAGCTGTTCAGAAGTATAACGTGTCACAAAACTCCAAATTCAGGTTGTTAGCAACAGAACAGTATACTGAGGACACAGTAATCCAGTAAATTGGAGATTCTTTTAGTCATTAAACCTTTACTGTTTGTGCTTTTTATATGTCTTCAAGTTACAAGAGTGCTGCTACTGTTTAGACTGGCAAAATCTTCAGAATTTTCTAAATTTATTTACTTTTTTTTGAAAGGAAGTGTTGGGGTGAATAACTTTATTGGTTTTGCTGTAGCATTGAAGTACAAACCCTTTTGTTCAACACCTTTTCCTTCAGTATGTCTGAAAAAAAATTTAGTTTTTAACCAAAGTCTATGTTTTGTTCCAGTTCAGATAACATTAATAATTCGAAGACTGTTCTTAGTGAATTCTTTTTGGCGGTTTGAGGGGGTTGATATCATCTTGTCCCTTGCGCACAGAATTTGCTTGCAACTGTTCTCCGTAGAAACATGTAGGCTTTTTTCAAATTGATAAATACACTTTTCCTGGCAAGTGGTAACTCAAACTCAAACTACTTGTCTGATTTAATTAAATATTGCCAGTATTTAAATATGGTTTTTAAAGCCCAAAACACAGGAATAAGCTATCTTTTTATTTGATAGCTGTTCGGGATCGCATGGTGCCTCCTCCACCTCCGCCTCATCACCTGTATGCAAAAGCCAACAGTTCTTCATCCATCTTCTTACAATGGGGAAAGCCAGCTTTTACTGCTGCAGCAATGATCAACTATACTGTCCGCTGCAACCCTGTGGGACTGCAGAATGCTTCCCTTGTCATGTACCTTCAGACGTAAGTGGCAACCACTGCATATCTAATATTGCAAAGTGATTTAGCTCAGTAACAGTTTAGAATTTGGAATTATTAATAGTACAGTAGAATGGCAGCATCTTCCCATGTAGCAGTACGTGTCATTAAAATCAGTTCTGCTGGAAATTCTCACCAGATCAGGCAGTATCTGAGGAGAGAAATAGTTAATGTTTCAGATCAATTGCCTGATTGAACTTCCTTCAGACTCTGTTCTGATGGAAAGCCATTGACCTAAAATATCAATTCCACAGTTGCTGCCTGACTTGGTGAATATTTCCTTCTGTTTCTCTTTTGTAAGATTTCCAGCATCTGCTGTATTTAATTTTTGAAGCAATGTGTTACTGAGAGTTCTTTCACAGACACACCTGAGCTCTGCCGATATGACTACCTTAAAGAAATTCTGTTGCTTTCTGAAATTGTCAGTTACATCACATTTTGCATCAAAGCCTTGCATTTAATTCAGACTCTGTCTCACTGCCTTCTAAATCGAGAGTGTTTGCACTTCTGAATATAAACTACTTGGAGTCGAAATGGAGTTGCTGAAGAAAGTTGTTTAGGTTTACGCTGTGTATATTAAACGATCGCCTTTAGGCTTTGCAAGCATGTTCATTTGTTATGCCTTGCATTTGTCCATGTCTGCCCAAGGTGATTCTAGATAGTGCTGTTCAGTATCAATCTCCAATTCTCCAGTCTAATCAAACAGTAAACAAGAATGTCAAACAACAAAAATTCTAGTCCCCAGAATGTTACCTCCTTATTGTCCAGCAGTTACAAGAGGAGGATTGGGTCCCTGTGGCATGATACCAGATAGTTGTTTACACTACAAAAGTATGGCAGTTTCAACCAGCAAGTATCAATGCAGCTTTTAATTAAATAGAACTGTTAAAGACAAGCACCATAAACTTTCAGTTCCGATTCTCTTTTTAAGATATAGTTCTAAACCAGCTTTTGTTAAACAGTTCTGAACTTATCTTTGTTACAAATGGGACACTTACATTGTTAGCAGATTGTGGCTGCTGTGTTACTGTCTTCCTTGGGAGAGTCAATCAACTTTTCCTTTTCTCTCTTCCTCATATCTTTTTACTATTCTCTTTGAAGCATTGGAGTTGAGTGTCTTTTCACATTGCTTTGGTACTATTATAATATTGCCAATCCCACAGTCTAAAATGTCTAGTGAATGATTCAGATCCTAAAAGGCTATTTTGCATTTGTCAGACACTATTAAAACTGACAAAAGGATACATGAAAACAAAAATAGTATTTCCTTCTTTCAACTCATCAAATTTACATCCTTAGCTGTTTAAAAAGGGGGTACCTATGTTGTCAAAAGAATATTGTTCTTCCTTTTTGAAGCACTATTTTGTAGTCTGCCATAGATGAAAGCTAACATAATGTTGTCGTGTGCTGGATACACTGAAGGAGACCGTTGATTTTAAATAAAAATCCTTTTAACATGAGCCACAAAAAATTTGGATTGGCATACTGGAACTTGGCAGATATACAGCAGCCACTGACTGACCATAACTAGCATTTTCAAGTTTATTTTTTTTAAAACCTGCTGTCCTGTTCATTTGATACAACCCTGAATAGATCTGTTTGCTTTAATGCAACATTACCCCACCTAGCCTCTTCCAAAATTAAGTAGAATAATGGTTATAAACAAATATTAATATAAATATAAATATTATCCTGATCCAAGCATAGAATTACAATTCTCCAAATTCTCTTTATATTTAATTCCTTTGGAGAGAATTTTAACCTACAATCTTAACACTTAAATCCTTTTTTAAAAATGTGTAGCAACAGTGAGCTATCAAATTTCACCATCGACCATTTTGAATGTCATTTGAATGAATTGTACCTTATTTTGATTCATTTGAATTGATGAATGAATTATATTTGTCTACCATTTGTTAGATATCTCCACAATATTAGAATTTTACAATAAATTCTAAATGCTTATGAGCTGATTTTAAGCTTGATTTGTCACAACTTGTTTGGCATTTATAAATACAGTCAGAAAAGCCTTCTAAAAATCAAACTTTCTCTATTCCGATAGATTAATAACTGCATTTTATTTCAATTCAAATAGGTCAGAAACACACATGCTTGTTCACGGTCTACAACCGTTCACCAAGTATGAGTTTGCTGTGCGTCTTCATGCAGACCAACTCTCCAGCCCCTGGAGCCCTGTGGTTTATCAGCTTACATTGCCAGAAGGTAAAGACAGCGTCAAACCTCTTAGTCTTCCAGAAATTGAAATAACCCAATAGCACATTACTTAAAAGCAAATTGTTGCCTTGCTTTTGACTATACATAGTGCAGTGCAGAACTTTGATAAGTAAGTAATTGCTTGGTAGTACAGAATTTAAACGTTGCTGAAAGGAGACAGGAAGTCAAAGCTCAGCAGGAAATGTTGATTGGTTAGGATGCTGCAATAGGAATGCAGCAGAGATTAGTGGTCAATGTGCCTCCTTTCCCAATGAGAGAAATGCAATGAGTGTATAAGTTTGTTTTGCCTAAGTAAAGCAGGCTCCTGTGTATTAATATAATGTTGTTTCCAGAATGCACGAAAGTCTACCTGCCTTGCCTGAGACTCACGACAGATGACAACCTCTTGGTCTGCTGTATCAATTCACGTTCCTTTTCATTGTGATCAGTGCTGTATGGAAAGGATTCATTTTTGTGTCCCTGTTTAGCAATGTTTAAGATTTGAGGAATGAACAAAGTATTAATTCATCATTGATACAGGAGAATATCGGGAAATTTACTGAAAATAGCAGTAACTTGTCACAATTGTAATTTTTCAGATGCATAGGTTATAACCCCATCCAAAGGAAATATTTAACCAACCAGGCTTCATAGTTCATGAAGTCTATTGAAGATCTTAAGCTGTGTCATTCTGATAGCTGTAATTAATACTAAATTTGTTAAAAGTTAACAACCTGCCAATCTCCGTTCCCATAAGTTCTAGTTCTTGCACAAAATCTATCTGTATTGTGATCATCATTTCAAGGATTCTATAAGAAGTTTCTCAGAATTTAAAACCAGTTCTTTAGAAGTTTATGAACTATTTCTGCCACAGCTCCGGTCAATCCACCTTCAAGTGTAAAAGTCACATTAATAGAAGAAGGAACTGCTCTAATTTCTTGGAAACCCCCGGAAGATACCAACACTGCTATCACCCGTTACACCATCCTTTACGCTTCTAGAAAGGCCTGGATTGCTGGCGAGTGGCAAATGCTTCATAGGGAAGGTGAGCTTTACTTAGCACACATAAATTTATTTTACCTGTATACATCTGACTGTGGAAACTACTGAATCATCAATTTCATTAATTTTAATAATTAGCAGGACTACCTGTATGAGGACTGCTTAATAAAATACATCTAATATGGTTCTGAGAGGAGAAGATCTTGCTAGCTGAACCTGTAATTTTTTTGAGAATTTCCACTCCAAGTGGACAGTGAAGGTGACACGAGGGTAATTACTGATGAGGAAGACGTATAGGCCCAATCTAGTTCATAAGGCCCTACAACCCTGCCAGTGTTGGGCTACTAGTACCTTTCTGGATGGATTTGCATTACAAAATTTTGACCTTCATGATCCAGTCCATTTTCTGATCACTATTTATGTGAGGAAGAACTTTCTGATATTAGACCTAAATTTTCATCCTCCTAGATTGACTGTGTCCCCTGTCAATAAGTTGCAACTCAGGTGGAAAAATCAAACTGACTGATAGAAAACTTTAGGAATGTGTTAGGACAGTGACCTTGGATGGCATGGTGTGTACGCTCAGTGGAGTGCAAAATGGCTTAGTGCCAGAGACCATAATGTGCTTGATCTATGACATGGACTTGAATGCAAGATCCATACTATATTTCATAACTAAATTATGTTAATTATTGTATTCATATCTGTCCAAGTCGGATAATCTTGGGCCTCTACTAAGAGGGCTGTTGCATACAGTCACAGGGCAACACGGTGGCTCAGTGGGTAGCATTGCTGCCTTACAGCACCAGGGAGCTGGATTCAATTCCACCGTCAGGTGACTATCTATGTGGAGTTTGCACATTCTCCCTGTGTCTGTTTGGGTTTCCGCTGGGTGCTCCGGTTTCCCCCCGCAGTCCAAAGATGCGCAAGTTAGGTGGATTAGCCATGCTTAATTGCCCATAGTGTCCAGGGATGTGTAGATTAAATGGATTAGCAATGGGGAAAGTGCAGGGTTATAGGGATAGGCTGGCGGGGGGTGAGTCTGAGTGGAATTCTCTTCAGAGTTGGTGTGCACCTGTTGGGCAAAATGGCCTGTTTCCACACTGTAGGGATTCTATAAGAAAAACAAATAACATTCTCCAGGACTCTTGCTTTAGATACATTTCCTTGTGGTGCAGCACATTTGTATTAGGTGCAGAACTGTGCAAATTGATACTATTTGAAATTGAAATTAAAATAAGAGTGATACTATGTTATTTGCCATGCTATACGCTGATTCTGCATTCACTGCACTTTAATTGTTGATCTATTATTGTCATCTTTGTTTTTAGGAACAATTACTATGGCTTTGCTGGAGAACCTCCTTCCAGGAAATGTCTATCTCATTCAAATATCTGCATCTAATGAAGTAGGAGAAGGACCGTTTTCAAACGCTATAGAGCTAGCAATCCCTGTGAAGGAAACCATATACTTTAGCCAGGGACCTAAGTGGCCTGACTCTCGCAATAGTGGAGATGCCAAAGGTCAGTAAACAGTTTGCTGCCATTAGGCATGTGTGTAACTATTGTAATGGATTAGGCCTTTCTGACAAGATCTCTCTTAAAAGTAGACTCAACGGGTGTAGTTGTCAATGAAATGCTGTTAGAATGAGTTACAAAGAATCTAAACCGACAATCTAAATCAGGTTGGACTTCATATTATCCCACTGGGAATTAACAACTATGCATAATTATTATGCTTGAGAGCTTTTGCATGTGTAATAGCTTCAATTGTGAAATTTTATGCTCACCGTGCAGAAGTAAACCTCCACCCTTTGGCATGACTGCACATCAGTGGTGGAGGGAAATAAAGCAGCATTGAAGTGATCTGAATGCAATCTGTCTGGGACATTGTGTTAGTAAAAGCTAGGGGGAAACCTTCTGGCAAAGCCTCAATGTTTGAATTCTGTGCCACCACAATCATCTTGCTGTATACAGTAATCTAGATGGTTTAACGCCCTCCAAGAATTAGTTATTCATTTCTGCCTAGATACCCTTCATAAACTGTTGGTGACAACAGAAACCTTTTCTGAAAATTATCCATTCTTATTTAAATGTGCAAAATGCTTTTTTCATAAAGATTTGACATTTAATTGTTTTGTATTTGAGGCTTCTGTTCTCATGTTGATGTTGATATACTCAATGATATAACTGTATGGTGTTAACAATGAGATATCTTGTCACATCTGTATGAATCTGTTTGATTTTCGCCATTGAAATCAGCAGTAGAATTGAGATAAAATCACACTATAACTGAAGATATTTGAGGCACTTTTAAATTTAATTGTTCTAATGTCTATTATTTTTTTTTACTGAAGTAAACTCTGATGTATTTTACCACCTGGACCAAAAGTCAATGACTGGAATTATTGTTGGAGTTTGCATAGCCCTAACTTGTATCATCATCTGCGTTCTTATCCTCCTTTATCGAAGCAAAGCAAGGTATCGTTTGAAAGCACACTGTTTAGGCCACAATACAAAGTATTATCATTAATGAGCAATGATTATATTAGATTTATTGTCAAAGTATTTAATCTAATTGTGTCGGAAACTAGATTGTTCAGTAAAATTTTGGCCTTGTACCTCAAATCCTGCAATTCCTGTCATTGATCATACAGCATGATGATGTTAAAATATAATTTGTACACTCTCTGCTTTAATTTAACAGTTGCAGTTGGATCACCTATAAAGCAAAGACAAAGTGATGCCAGTGCACTTAATATTAATGATCCAAGTCGCACATATAGGACTGGTTATCAATTAGTATATTAGGATATTTCCTCTTCTGCAATAGCCTATATTTAACTTGACTCATCCATTTATCATTTGAATTGGGGATTACTTGAATATATTATATTCAGTACTGAATACTTATCAGTAGATGTCATTATTAAATATCACATATTTGACAAGTTAAATTTTCATAGTCAACTTTTATTTACCCAGGAAATCTTCTGCAATCAAGGCTGAGCAACAAGGAAATGTACAGATGGCACGTGTGACAAGACCACTGGTTAACACGACCCATATTATTAAGAGTCAGACTGAGCAGGAAACTGTGGAAACCTTAATGCCAATGATGCCTGAAAATGTCTTTTTGGATACCAAGGTAATAAACGTTATATCTACATTGATTTCTACCTTCCCTAACTCTTGCATTTGATAGTAGCCCTCTCTTGAGCTGAATGAGGAAGCCCGTCAAAAGTTTTAATACCAGTGCATGTTCCTTTGAATTGAAGCTGAGAGATATCACATGTTTCATTTCCTAAACTCTAACTGTGGTCACGCAGGTCAGACAATTGCCCACATGCTCCCTTTCTGACCTGAGATCCATTCCTGGTGCATCACTGCCATTTATACTGCATCATCTGAAACTGTTGGAATGGGTTGTATTCCTTGATGTTGATTTATAACTGCTTCCCCAGTCATCAGAACTTCTTAAAAAAAAACTCTGAAATGGAAATTGTAGAATTCCAGTCAAGGATGAGATCTTTATTTTAGGGCTTTTAATATTTTCAGGACTACTATTTGGTATTCAGGGGTCCACCTCTGCTACCTCCACATAGGTAACTGCTATTCACATGTGACCTGCAACGACATTGGGCTGATCAATGATGGGAGACATTGCAGTCATGCTCAATAATGTCGTTATTCAATTATACACGTACATGCACTTTCCAGTTGGGGTTAGAGAATAGCTATTGGGAACAGGAACCCAGCATTGTTTTTCTTATTGCTGTTAAAGAATTGCATTTTTATAATGTTGTATACAATCTGTGATTTATGTCCAGTGAAATACTTTCAAAGTGTAGTCACTTCTACTTGTAATATAGGTCAGCTAATTCAGCCTGGACTGGAGGTTAGATCTGGAACTTTGCTGTTTTGCTGTTTATGCCAGCTTCTGGTCAGGAGAGGCTAGAATGAGCCTTCCTTAGCTCCAATGTTCCCTAACCCTTGGAGCAGCAGCAAGTGGACATTTTAGCAAGGGCAGATCAGAAGACTGGGAGGCAAATTACATGTAAGGAGTGGAAGTGGCTAGCAGAACGTGATAAAAGGGAAGGAAATAGGCACAATACATGTAGGAGATGGGAAGTAAGTTGAGAGTAAATATATGAATTACAACCCTTAACTTCTCGCCCTTGAAAAATGTTTATCTCTTGTTTTATCATGTGTTTTTCGAGTCTATAATGTGGAAGTATTTTGTTATCTTTTTCTTTTGGTGCATTTGTGGTATCAGCTCTGTACTTGTGTTTACACCTCCAGAAAATGAATGAAAATATTGGGATAGGGCAGAAATTAAAATCAGGGAAACTTTGATCAGAATATCATATCGTTAAAAACTAACAAAAGTTCAGTCAGCATTAATTTCATGTTCTTCCAACCTTGTGGTTGGAACTGAATGAAATTGGTCAGCTTCATATTGGTCAGATGGGTTGGAGCAGCTATCGTTTCTGGAACTGGGATCCACAGAAGTAAGTGTAACTCAGACACTCTGTTTCTCTATAATAGCTGTGATCGAGCAAAAAGTATACCCTCTGAATGTATTCTATTACATCCAACAGGGTGGATCTGATATGATCATTCGGAGCTCTACTCACGTAAACAAAAAAGTGAAAAAATGGTCATTTTTCGGGTCAACGAAAAAATCGGTGAAGATGCACAAAGAGAAGCAGGTGAAGTTTGGAACCGATCTCTTGAAATGACCCTAGCTTCCTTTTTAAAAGCATCAATTAGGTAGACACACAACAGAGAAAGGAATTGAAGTCCATGCTTAAGAGGGGGGGGGCGGTGGGGGTAGAGATGCGTTTAGAATGTTGGCAATGATTGGTGTGTTTCTCCATGTACATCTTGTCTAATCATTTGTGGTGTGGAATACACATTCTTTTTAAATGGAAATACTCTTCAGCTGATGATTCATGCATTTCAAACAATTGGGTTTACTGATGCTACCTGAAGCAGTCTTAGAATTTCTTGAGCTTAACAGTTTACCATCATATTAAAATCAGAGTTCAGTAGATGAGAATTGAAGGCTTGACCTGACTTAGCAAATATCCTGCATTTCTATACTTTAGGGATGATTATTCTCAATCACCCCTAATTAAGTTTCTGTTGAAAAAGTTATAAATAGTCCAATAATGGCTGCCTGCAGTTGAAGGTGTATCAGTCGTCCTGGTGCAATACACAGCACTTACCTTATAATTGTTTTAAATACATTTCATGCTATCCCTCTCTCCAAACTTGGCTTTTGGCCTTCTGCATTTCTTTTGAATTAATCAGTTTTCTAATGCAATTGTTCAGATTTAGGTGTACATATATTGCCCAAGCACAACACTGTTTGTATCAACAGTCCTCGTAAAATCAGCTTACATTGCCTATCATATAAAAGGAGTTGTAAGTACTTGCTTAATGTAACTGATGCCATTCTTTTACTAGCAGCCAGTAAGAAGACATGGACGAGGCATGAGTTCTTACCAGCTGACTGGCTTGATCTGCGAAGAATCGGGTGCCTCAATACTCGTTCCACCGACATCATTGCGGGCTGTGTTCGGCACTGCAGGAGATGCAGAATATTCTCATAACAGTGACGGAAGTCATGAAACTGGAGATTCGGGCAGATACTCGCATGATTCTAGGGAGGAAATGGAAATGGCTCACCTTTCTTCTGTCACATGTACTACACCTACCTTCTTGGGACCATTTATCCAGGCAGAAACGGCCAGTGTTCCTGTCCCGTCTACCTCCGAGGAAGCTCAATGCCTGTTGATTGGTTCTCCTTCTGCTACCTCAGACCTATTGGCATCACCTGAAGTACGTCAAATGCCTTCTTCAAAAACTGTCCGTGAAAATACTGACAATGAGTTTCCAGTTTGAATTACCCGATCCAGTTTGACCGTAATTTATCTGTACTATGGACAATGTGCAGTGAGCCAAAGAACATTCTGGAATGGAAATCTGGGTTTTTTTAAAATCACTCCAGGTTCTTACATGTTTTTGTTTTATGAATGTTACATTTTTTGTTTTACCCACCATGAATGTCTGTATGTCAAAAATGTGAAAAGGATCGTTGCATTTCTTTTGATTTTATTTTGAAAGGTATATCACTGGAGCAGAAACAATATTTCAGGCTTTCTGCTTAAAAAAAATCTACCTCAATGTACCTGATGGTAAACTCCAGTATTTAACAGATATTTGATTCCATCGTCTAATAGTTGATACTTTCTTTAAAAAATGTCTTTTTGCTGAAAGAAATGTTTGTTGATGTTCTGCTGTGATTTAGGGGTTGTAAGGACATTGCCATGAGAGTGTTTAACTAAAGCTCTGTTTACGTGAACAAGTATCATTCTAAATGAGCCCCAAATGCAGCACCTTTTGAGCTGAAGTTGTCTTGATTCACATGTCCTTTAATTATTTTTGTATATGAGGTAAAGAACGGATCCAGTCATATGTTTGAGCGTATTTAAGTCACAGTCCCAATCTATGAAACTTAATATGATCACTTTCCACAGCTGTTTGTGCATAATACAGATTTACATAGAGCTGTGAAAAGTGTAAAGTATGTTTGATCAAAAGGAAGAGGAAATGCTGTTGTTTGAATGATTTGGAACAGAAGAGATGAACATCTATGCAGTATAACATCCATGTGCTGAGTAACTTTGCCTATGCTGCTAATTTGAAAGGCATCTAAACTATGAAGTGATGCTCAACAAACAGAATGAATGAATTCTTATCCAATCTGAGCCCAAATGTTTGGGTACACTTCAGTTTTACTGAATATCTGTTAGGAAGCGCAACAGCCAAAGTGAAGCAGGCCAGGATAAATGAGGATGATTACTGAGATGTTTCCTATCCTAGAAAGTGGAGAGTACAGTGCAGGGGGAGAGAAATAGCTTTTGCTGTGACTTGTATCCATTGCCCAACTGTCCTTGTTGAATTCGGATTTAATGCATTATATTAGATACTCTTAGAACTAATTACATATGGTAAGTGCCCATTCCAGCTTGTGCACCACATTCGTGCGTATACTCAATCACATCTATTTTCAAATCATTTATTTTTGGACAACCTTTATAGTTTACATGAATTTAAAATTCCCTCCCTTTTATCATGGTGATTTCTAAGAATGTCACCTTTTAAGAGATTAAACTGAATTTTTATACAAATAAAATGATTGTTCCAAGGGAAATTTTCTATGACGTAGTAATATATTTAATTAGCATGTTGATTTCTAGTTTTGCTTTTCAGCACCATTTCAAGTGGATTATTTCCTCAAACTGATGTCCTGAAACAATTATGACAAGCTTCACAAATAGAAAAAATCATGAGCTAGAAATGCTTATTGATGCTGCTCGACTTAAAGGGAGAAACATGAAGAATTCTTTCCACTAGATAACTTCATTTACACCAATTCTATTGATTATTTGAACACAGGATTAATAACAGGAGTTTGAAAACAAAAAAAGCTCATTTTTATCTTCCCCCACCCCCCAAAAAAGTCAGTATTCCATAGTTATAGCACGAAATACTTAACTCTGTTCCCCATTTGTGTATGGATTTATTTTATTTCAACAACCTGCCAAAAGCAAAATACAGTAGTAACCGTACGATATCATTTGTCGTTACGAAAACGTGAATCATATTTAAGTACGCAAGAAATAACCCAACAATTTCATTTAATTAAGATTTTTAAATAAGCAGAATTCTGCCTTTTTTATCTAGGAAATAAGTTATTTTAGCATTGCTGCTTCATATAACCCAAATTTAATTTTAATTTATTATCTGATTGTGTGGGACACTGAGTTACTACTTCAATTGTTAAAATAAAATGGTAAGCTTTAATTGGTTGTACTGTGGACTGAGAGAGAGAGAGTGGTGTTCAATGACTGTATGCCTGTTTGTAAACAGAACTCTACTACAATTCCGTTGAGAATTTTTCATCCTCCAATAAAAACAACTTCAGCCTAAGGGTATTATAATATGTAACTCACTTGAAGAGTTGCAATCCAAAGACACTGATTTGGTGCCTCACTGTGTGTTTTTAGAATTACTTGCATAAAACAGAGCTTTATGATACCAAAAAAATGTTCATAGGGAATAGAAGCTGCTACTCTCATGTGCTTTAACCTCGCATCTCCAGTTTGATACTACCTCTTTTAAAAACCTATTTTAGTGTTATTCTTTATCTAACCTCAGGGATCAAATAATTACATTTGAACTGCCACACTGAAATGTGTGGTGTACTGACAGGGTATCTTGATTTTTTTTTTTGCTTTTAAAGTAGTTACTGTGTAGCTTTTAAGAGTTAGAACAGATCACTAGAAATATGTGCCAGTAAATGTTCACACCAATGTGTTGCTGATATATCAAAGCTATTTTAAATCAAGCTTACCAAAGAAAATGTACATAGACTTTTTTTTTCCTCGTGAAATGTCTTTTTGGGCCATTTAATTACAATTAAACCTCTTGATTTTATGATAGTTACTAATCAATTGGAAGTAGTGACTTGTATGTGTTTGAATAGAAATTGATTTTCTAACCATATTCCACCCTTAATTGGAAAACTGATTTGTGGAAGAAACTATATTGATGTGTAAACACCCAAGTTCATCCTTTACTAAAAAATATAAAATTATATTGAATAGATTTCCAATACTTTTATGTCCAAAACTGGTTACAAGCAAATTCAAATCTATTCAAGTCTAAAGGATGTTTGAGTTAATGTTTTGATGTTTGAGTTAATTTCCTCTATCAGCTCATTGAAAGATCTTTAGTACTATCTACTGAGTATTACTTCTGGTTAACTGCACTCTGCTCTTTATAGCGTAGATCAGAATTAGAGTAATAGTCAGTTTAGCACTTGTCTTTCAGGTTAGTGTCATCCTATAGTATTAGGAATCAAGGCAGTATACAAAGGTAAATGTTGTGTAACTGTTTCCAAAGATTTACTTTCCTTGTTGGACCTTTTTAAATATATCTTGACAGGGCACTGTGTCTATACAGTATCTGGATTCAAGACCTAAGAACTGTGTCACTTTTCATCTAACCTACACAAGTTCATGAATGAGAGAGAGAATTTCCTTGTGGTTCCAAGTGTAATTTATAAATGTGTATTGCTTCTCAATATTGCCATAAGTTGTTTAATATCACTGGATACAAGATGATTCCCTCTTTCTCAGTAACTATGAAGCTTTATTGGATGCTTCTGGCATCGTTAATTGTTTAGCATTTTAAAAAGAAGCAAATATTTTCTTGCCCTGATTTAACCTAGGATTTACTTAAAAATGTTGCTTCCAAAGAAATACCAAATTTCTCTTGCTCAAACCAAAGTGAAATACTCCAGCTGCCTGTAACACTCAGTAACTTCTTGCACAATTCAGTTGAATAGCAACCATGTACTAAGGTCTTCTCTAAAGGTGATTCTATATTTTAGTGGTTGTGACATTTGCAGCGGCTATTTACAGATATATATAATAAACTGGCAGTTCTGGAGTATGAGAGAGGAAAGAAAAGGGCCTTTTAATAGCTTTAAAAAGAATCTGTTAACCATTGTTGAGCAATAAGAAGGTTTTGTCTCTTGCTAGTTAAGTTCCACAAAAAGGAGGAGAGTAAATAAAACTGTTTCCTCCCTTAATCATTAAATTCAGTGTTAATATTTTCAGTGTCAAATACAGTTAGATCAGCTGCCCATAAAAACCAAAGATTATTTTTTATTCACCTTTGTGTATCAAAAGTAGGAGTTTAGCTCTTCACTCAGAAATAGATTGTCTTCTCTTAAATGATTTTGTTTAACCATTTGTTTTATTTTAATGCAGCAAAAATGTCTATGTAAACATCCTGAGTCAAAACCAGCATCTTCACATTACTTACAGCAGTCATTTTGAAGTACTTTATACATTAAAATTGCAGTGTACAGAATAAACCTGACGGCCATTATTTGATTTTATTTTTAAAAGCCTTACCTGCTTCCCTGTGTTATCATTCCCAGAGGTGCTATATGTGGTTCAGTGCATGAGTGATGAAACTGTCACTCTGCTAAACACTGCATCTAAACATTGATTTTTCTTGGTTTTGATGGTGCTCTTGGAAGTTTTAAACTTAACTGTTCACAGAATAATTTTTTAAAAAGTCAAAAGCCCATTTGGTCATGATGTGGAATTGCCATTAACTGTTTGGAATTTCCAATTCATTTCATCAGAGCAAGTCTAAAATTTTGGACCACCGCTCTATTCCTTATGCACCCTCAACCCACTTCTGTTCAGCTTTGTATTTGATAAATGGTCATCCAGTTTCAGGTGAGCACCAAACAAGGCAAAGCCCACTCCCACCAATCCATGACATGACCCTAGTTATCAGTAACTTATCCAGAAAATATTTTGCAAATCTTGGTCATTAATAGGACTTGATATTGTGGTACCAAGTTAAGTCTTTTTGATAGAAGTCAAGAAATAGCCAGTCAGTAGAAATATATTCGTGATGCAATACCTTTCTGAAACGTAATGTACAGTACTTCAAAACTGAACTGCTAAGAGCTACCAGCATATTTTGCCATTTTTCAA